CATTGTTTCCACTGAAGCTGACAATCATCTACACACAGTAGTAACCCTATTTATTTCACAACTTGAGTGCCACGATTAATATTGTAATCCGTTTGTAAAGAATTAAGTTTTATACAGTTATTGTATTTTGAGACTTATGGTTCTTTTCTTTAGTGTTACAAGAAAGATCGCAACTTATCTTGGTGAAGTTTTGGAACACCAGAGGGACAGCTTGGTAGAACATCTGCTTGCAAATGGAGGTGTGATAAAGAAATAGTTGAGATTTTTTGCACGATATTACCAGTAATGCTTTGTTTGAATTTGTATATGAACTAACTCTACAATATATCAAACATATTTCTATACAAAAATTAACTATTTTTGAACATTAGTTATGTATGTATACTTTGTCGCTTAACCAGTTTCTGAGCCCAACATAAAGGTTTTTAAGAAATTTTGAATAATGTTTTTTTTGTTTTTTTTATCAGTTGACTTAGCTATATATATTATGAAGTTTCAATGGGATATGGCCAAATACCCCATCAAACAGTCCTTGAAGAACATTGCAGAGATAATAAGTAAGGTAAGGTTGAAGGTTGAGTTTGGTTACACTGGATATTTAGAAATAGTTAGAGAACAAATGGATCATGAAAACTTCTAGTTTTTTTGCTCTTACATATCTTAGCAACGCTTTATTAATGCCCCCAGTGGCAAAGCAGTAAATCTGAAGGCTTTAACACTAAAAAACCAAGTACCAAACATGTAGTGAGCACAGCACAGATAGCCCACCGTGGAGCTTTGTGTTTAATAACAAACAAACAAACTTTATTAAATTGTACTTTTAGACTCATTTCAACAGAAAACAAAAGGGAATCCTCAATAGCCACGACACTTGAAATTCTTTTAGGCAGGATTATAGTAAGTTAAGCTACGAGACTTTTTTTTTTCATTTTTATTAGCTATATTTTAATGCGCCAGCAACACCGAGTGTCAGGCGAGCATATACCCAATTCAATTTTATCACTCATCAGAATCTCTACCAGTCTTCTCTCAAATTGAAATTCCTTCAGGTAGGATTAAAGTAAATTAATCTATGAGACCTTGGATATAGTCAAAGATATCAGTTGAAAGGTTTGACCTTCTGAGTCCAAAACTGGATCTCAAATCGGTTAAGAGATGATGGAGCTATGAGCTAAAAGTTTTGTACTTGAAAAACCATGGCTAAAAAGCACAAGTTACAATTAGCCTAAATTGATAGTTTGCTTATTATTAAATATCATAGTTTATTACCTATTGGCTGAACTAAGTGTGTTTTGTGGTAATGATATCAATAATGTAACCTAGAAAACATTGGATTATTACAGTAATACATCATTGATTGATACCTGAAGGGTCTGCTGATTGTGTTATGAATTGATGGAATTAACTAAGTGTATGAAGGACACTTAATGTAAAAGAAAATTAAAAAGATGTACATATTAAACATCCAACTCCCTGAGTACACCATGCTGTTCCATTTTGCTTTTTATGACAGCTTTTATAATGTCATCCTTTGTTTAAATGATCAGTCTGTTGTTGTTCTGTTTTCATGACTTGCACAAATTTACTAGCATAAGTATGTGTAATAAATGTACAGGTACGTGGGAGTGGCACTAAGAAGTGTAAACTATTGACCATGTGTTCAGCTAATTCTCATGTATGTATCCGACAGAAATTTAAAAGTATGTTAAAACCTTTTTTACTAGAACTTAATACCACCACAGGTATACCGAGAACCCGAAGTCTTATTCAGAAATGTAAGGACATTGCAAAGGTTTCAGAAACAATTACAGATGTTTAGTATGCTTTCTGTCATTCTTAAAAAATACACCAAGCCTTTAAATCACTTGATGTTCGAGTCATTTTAACAGTGTGCCCAAAATGTTTCTTTAATAATTTGCATAATCTTATTCATGGTGTGAAAAAAGAAAAAAATCTTTGCAGATTTTCTTTGGTTGAAATATACATTGCCAGATTATCCTCCGTAAAATGTCGCACATACACAGTATACATATCAATGATATCACTTTGTCAGATATAAAAGACTGTTTAGTGTACATAGTATTATTAATTTATTTATTTATTTTGTGCTTGCAATCAATTGATGTCGAGGCTATGGAAATTTCTAGAAGGCCTAAGTGTTAAGACATATAAATAGCTGTGACGAGATGAGTGAAAACAGAGTACAAGTAAAGTCACGTGAAAGAGAAGTTCGATTAGAGAAAAGTTAAAAAACATAAACTTAACCCTCATGGGAGTGAATGGCCTAACAGTTGATATGTTCGAGTGATATTAACAGTTTGAAAGAGATAAGGAGAACAATTTGTCTCCTCAAAGGGTGTTCTAAACTAATTGAGCCCACCTTTGTGGACTTTGACAAAAGGCAGACAATTATTGGAAGTATGAAAAGCAGACGATTATTGGAAGTTCAGGATACAACTGCAGTAACTCACACAACAATTTAAGTGATTTATACACAGATACTATTGCAATAAAAGTAGATAAAAATAGTTAGGCTTGTCAACTGAATTCTAAAGTAATTGAATTGGCCTAAGTGGACTTTTGACAAGAAGAAGAGAACTGTATAGTGTTTAAGGTACAACTATGATCTCCATAGTGTAAAGAATTTTGTACATACATTTAACTTGTTTCGAATACACATATTATTTTAAAAACAAGGAGTACATGCTGTTCATTTACTGTCGAATTTATCACCAACAATTCACAGACTCCTACTGGAGAAGAATACTTAGTCCAACACAACCATATATTTACATTACTTAGTCTTAGTTCCTCCCGTTCCGTTGGGAACATTGGTCAGCGAGACCTCGCCATCTGCCTCTGTCATGAGCAGTCT